TTCCTTCACGCCGTTTCTCTTGCCTTCTATTTTTTCTTCCCGTATTATTCTGAAGAAGTTGCCGTGTCTTATCAAGTGGCCAACCATTTTGCCTCTTCTTTTTTCAATGGCATTCAGCAATTGCCTCTCTTCGTTTACCATTAGTAGGACTTTCTCATTTGGTTCTTTTCTCTATCGAACAGATGATAGTGTATAATATTTCTTAGTTCATTTTGTAAACGCGTTTCATAGCCTGACGTTCCATTCGAATTGCACTTATTGTGGTTACGGTAGACTGCTGACTTAGTAGAACTAACGCAAAGTTAAATAAAAATACACTAACTGATGTAATGAGATAAGCCATCGCCGTCGTAAATAAGGACAATACTATAGCATACGGAAAAACGTTCAGCATAAGGCCGCAATACCTCATGAAAATATGAGAGATGTTTGAGATAGGTAAGTTTCTTGCGGTGCTAAATGATGTTCTGCATGCTGTTAAGTACTGTAGATCAGCGGAGCGCGAAGTGTTCGCGACCGCAACTGATAGAAAACGACGATTACGTCGAGAGCTATTGTCGCATTGTGTACAACGCCCACAACACTTTTACTGGATTTACGAAACATTTCAAACATTTAATAGTTATTGTTGCCGTGGAGTCAAATGTTGCGTGATTACGAGGAAATTACGTATCTTGTAAGACAGAAAGTAAGTAGTCAACGAAAGAGGTTAGTTCTGAAAGTGCTGTTTTGTGTTGGGGGTGCAGTTTCATTGAAATAGTTTGCAGAGTAGATCTCAGAAGTCTTCTATTAAAATTGTATGCACCTCCATCTTACTGTAGAGCATGGTTAACCATGACAAGTAATCCCTATTTCTGAATAGTCTTGTTCTTCTCTACTCCTTGTCCTGTCCTTGTCACTGTCTACTTCCTCCGAGCCTTTTTCCCTAAGGTTCCCTAGGTTGGGGTCGGCTTTAAGTCTACTACGATACGGCTGAACTTCGATTTCTTTACGCGGAATGGCTGCCATCAGACCTCCACAACCGAAGTACTAGGCGATATCTAAGTACCCGTAAGGATAGCCATAGATGTTCGTATGGCAACCGGGACGTAAAGTGCTCTGCGAGGCGTGGATGGGTTTCAATTGTTGAGAAATGGTCACCCATCTATAGACTGACCTGGCTTGGATTACTTAACTTTGTAATGCGTTAAAGTCTCGGTTACCACTTGAAACGGACGATGGATGTTCGAAGCAAATGTTAAATAGTATACTCACTGTTCTTTCTTACCTCTCACGAAGGAGGACGAATGGTTATGGTAAATTTTGTTTTGAGGAATTTTGTTGGGAAATTAACTTTATTTATTACTTTAATACTCCCTTACAGAAATATATTATTAATAAAGCAAGCACAAAGCTTACAAACCGGAGGTTAACTATTAACATCATGTGGTGTCATTTTTGCAAAGACAACCCCATCCATCCGAGCTTTTAAAAATACAACGGCGCGGCATATTATATAAAGTTCTGAGTATATATCGACTGTGTCCTGCCGTCATGAATATTATAAATATATTATATACATACCTTTTTATGAGTGTACAGTATTTACAATTGCTAATTTTTTTTTCATTCATGTCTTACTAATTATGTTCTTTCATACTATTTCAACACGAATAAATGAAGTCGTGTTCAATTCCAAAATTCTGTGTGCTACAGCACACAGAATTTTGGAATTGAATTAAAATTGTTGAAAGACTGAAGAATGTGTATGGTTTTGTAAATTAAAATACAATCTGAGATACTGTTGTTACAAGAATATTCGAAGTTTCTTCTTTGCTTACTCTCTTGTCAATAGTAATTTGCCTTAACCGTCGGTTTACAGATCCCTAAATCTTTAGTGACAACTCAAAGATAAATAATATGGATGGATAGGGGCGCTAGAACGGAATTAGTAATATAAATAATTTCGTATCATCGATTATTATTTAATATTTATAATGACAGTGGATATTTGATCGAAATAGGATTCGTCATTAAATTTCATTCTCCAGTTATGAATAATTAAAACGGGTTTTAGGAATTTAAATCTATCTCTGTGTTTAAATAATATATATATTTGTAGACCAGACAGTGGCGGATTTACCAGCAGACTGAGTAGGCTGGAGCCTAGGGCGGCAAATTTTAGGGGGCGGCAAATTTGGCCCAAATTTTGTTCAGCTTCACTTGTATGTTTGTTTGTATGTTTGTAACCGACTCCTTTGGGCGTGATTTTGACTGACTTTAAACGGTCAGAATTCGTTCAAACTTTGTAGATATATCGAGGACCGATGACAAAACACTAATTTAAAAAAAAATAGTTTAAAAAAACTAAAAACACGCTTTCTATAGAAAACCAAACCAGCGTTGGGTGCCTGTTGTCAATAGTAAAAAGCACCCCACGCTTTTTTTCAAATTTATTGTCTATTTTTTAGTTTGGTTTTCTATAGAAAGCGTGTTTTTTAGTTTTTTAAAACAACATTTTTTTTGTCTTAGTTCAAAAAAGAAAACATATTGTATACACGTAGAAAAGAAGTCTCGAAAATTTAGCAAAAAAAATAATATTTTAGTACTATACAGTGTATTGAATACTCCAGCATCTTGTTGCGAGTCCCACATACAAAGAAACAGAAACATACTAAGGCGCCATCTAACGAAGCCACAACGAACTACAAAATAACTCATGAATGAGAATTGCCAGTCCTGTATCGCGATATGAAGAATTCTTTGGCCGATTAACATATATACAACTTCTACGATAATACCTTTTATGACGGTTGTGAGATCGAAAGTTGATCGGAACTGAATTGAGACCGAACTTTTATTACGAGAATTGGCCTTCAGATCAATGTATTCTCAACTTTCGTGTTGGAGGTCTAATATAATCCAAAGCTATTTTCGCATAAATGATGACATCTTGTATGTATAAATGTAGTTCTGTTTAGTAAAAGGAATGAATGTTTATCAGAACATTTTGATTACCCAACACCATTTAGGTATTTTGAAACAGCTTTCAGACTACTACGAATTGTATGATGCACCTTATCGAATTAAATGCACTTAAGAATGTAAAAGTTACTTTGTTTAGTGACAAAAATTATTGGCTTATATTATAATAATAATAGATAATATAATATATATATGTTATATATGTATATACACACATTTTATGATTATCTATTAATTAATGGTTGAAATAATTAGTAATTGTGCATAGCTATCGGTGGCCTTGCACTTTGTTCGTTGCAGATTTATCAAGCGATTTGCCTAAGACTGTCATCGTCTAACCTTGATTATCATCTAATGGCAATACAGTAATTGACATGAACAATGACAAGCCGCCATACCGTGTGGGTAAATAGGTACCTATCTTTAGCCTGCGTATAGTGTTTGCGTAAGAAGTAACATGCAAAAGGCATCCGCCATTTTACGATGAACGCTGACGGTTCTGCGCTAAAAGTGAGTGGCAGCAACGCCTGCAATAGTTTATGAGCGTAATTTGTTCTAGAAATTACTATTGGTAAAGGTTTAAATGCAATATAGAAAGCGGTTGTGTAAAAAATAAACGAGTTATTGACATGGTTTTTTGTTGCTGATTCTAGATCTTTTTTATTTAACAAATATAAAATAGTTAATTAGAGTCCATCGTGTAATATGATCTATTACCATGACATGTTCCAGCCATATCACTGGGAGTTGTAGTATTCCAGGATAAGTAAATTTGCTTGCCGCGCCACTCTTCGAGAACGTTAGTGACGCAAGGGGATTAATTCTGTAATTCTTCACGGAGTTAGGGGGGCTCGAATATGCGCTTTGACATCGTATTTATTCTTCGTAAATTTTGCTTCAAATCATAGTTACTGATCAAATGGATAATATTCCTTAAAAATTATGATTAGACGCTACTAAAGCATGCCTGGCCTTATGAAAGGTCTAATGACGGCAGTGAAAGTTAGAGAAGTCAAAGGTTAGGAGGTACAAATGGATACGAAACGAAGGTTTTTTTCTTTGGCTACACTGTAAGTACAGCGTTTGGTGCGTACGTACTAGTTATATTGAAAAAGAAATATAAATACGAGTGTGCGAATATAGTAAAGCTATTTCCAAACTTTGATCGAAAAAGCATTTATTGATGTTTATTGGAAACGTACCCCGCTTCCTAATTAGGAGTATTACCAAGTTGGTAAATATGTTTCGCGTGTAGGTATGAGTTTTGTTATAACAATAAAGGTGTTAGGGTATAAATTATAACAATAGAGGTGTGTTTTTTGGGTTCTATTTCAATCGTCTTTTGACTTTTCAACGATTGCATTGTTTTAAATAAATAGTAGATAATTTTTCGTATATATTTTTCATCAATATAAAAAGAACAATTGTATTGGAACACTTTCAAATAAACTTTTTATTATAGAAAATAGAGGAAGAATGTATAAATTGTGTACCATTTTGTGTACACTATTTAGAAATTTCAGACATTGGCAAATCTTAGCTAACCATTATAAACAATTTACCATAGATGAAACGGATTGTTGTTTTGCCGGATAACGGATGTCCGGCCTGCATTGAAATTGTTAATTTGTAACTAATTGATCACGTTTATACAATATCAATTCACAGAAAGGTGTATTACCTTTCTGTGAATTGACATCAGTTTAATAAAATGTGTATTGATTCTAGAAACTGAACTGCTATATTACTGTCTCTATCTCATGGGTAAAGTAAACATTGCAATGGTCCCTTAATCAATAATACAAATCACTCTTTATGACAACAGTACCTTACCTACTATTTATTTTATTGTAAATGTGGTGCTATTTTTTCTGTTATTTAAAAAACTATCTTAAGTTTAAATACACTCATATTTCAAAATATATTGTATGCTGGTTATTTAAAAGTATTTTTCGTGCTAATTCAAACAAATCTCAGTCCTGTTTATACTCATGCTAATAAGTTATATATGTATTCAAATATATATTCTTTTTCAGGATGAGCCCCTACCAGTGAACAATGCTCATGCACTGCATGGCATTCCTCCTTCTCAGTCACCAGAATCGACGCCTGTGCATTCCAGCCAACCGGTGCCGGTCGCCGTCAGCCAGGTCAAAGACGATGCACTCAATCATGCCGAGTCGAAGATCGATGAAGAGAAATTGCAGGTAAATAATACGTGATTGCAATTGTATATCAGACAGGTTGTTGACCCTGGATATTCATGAATAACCTACTTATTTTAAACTTTAATTTGAAAAACGTATCTATTGTTTATTTAGAATAAATGTCACTCTTATATAAATTGACAGCCATTCACCTTTCACCTCAGTGAGATCTAGCGAACAAAAAGTAATTATGATTGTTTCGCTATTTAACTGCGATTTTCTATCCGATAAAATTGTTTTAAATTATTTAAAAATGTAATAAATGTTATTTATAATATTCCATCGTGCCAATAATGAGTTGGTGGATGATGATGGATTTAAGTTATAAGAGTACCGGTTTACGGCCCCTAATTATAAATAAAAAAAATGTAATTGCAAGTCAGATGAAAAAAGTACACAATCGGTTGTAAAACCAAGTATTAAACACTATGTATCTGCCTTACACTTGCACTATTCAAACAGTAAATAGGGCCTAGTTTCATTTAAAAGGTCGTTAATTTTAAACAAAAGTATTTTGTGGTACCTACCTTAGTTGGTTTGCTGATTCTATGTGCAAAGCGATAGGTTATTGTAGAAGTTTCTTTGTGAGCTGTGGTTAATTACCATAACTGTGGCTTGTCACCAATTGATTCTTGTGTTTTTTTTTTAAACACAGTTTGTTATTATATCTTTACAGAACTTTTGTGAGTAATAGTAAAAGTATTTCCAGGCAATCAACCGATTGGTTAAGGCCATTGTGTAGTTATGTGGTTTCACTTGGCTTTGTTTTAAGCGTGAAAGGATAGGAAAATTGAAATTGTGTTATGCACAGGTCGCCTGGTTCCGACTTCAATGACTGAAGTTTATAGTTATAATTCTACTCAATATAAGTTGTGTACCTACAACACTTTCACTTGTACCATTTAAATTCAAAGCGCCTAGTCAGTATATTGAGTACTTTATTAGTACAAACTTAAAAAAAAAACTTTCAAATAAAAACTTAACGAATGGTACTAATAGTCAAAGTTGTTGCACTGTCACAGTACAGTGTTGACAGTCAAAGTGTGCTACAGAAATCCCAATACAGAAACCTATAGAAAAAGGTAAGGAAAATTTCTATAGTATGGGGACAAACGAGCCGAAACTTTCCACCCTTTGAGTCACCTCCCCTTAGAATCAAGGGAACGGAGGACGGGCGGGGAATTTGTCCGGTAACCTCACTAACTTGGTGAAAATTAACGAAAGATTTATTTTTCTGTGAGACTGTGGTATCACTTCTAACATAATTTAATCCACGGTCAATATTAATGTTTAAAAACTATTTTAATTTTAAGGTATTTTAATTTTAAGTTTTATTCTTAATTCACAAATTGAATATAACGGAATTGCTTATACACGCGATCGAGCATCGGGATGTGGAGTTTATACAGTTCATGTGCATTGGCTAGTGCGTGACGTCATAGCTTTCACTTGCGACTCGGATGAGTGGGGCCGCAACGATTGGAGTTGCGGGCCCACTCGACGTTGCACCACGTGAAAGCGCTCACTTTGTATTATTTGTATTGCCCAGATAACGAGCATGAATATGAAATCGCACGTAGATCTATATGTCACTAATGATACATGCTTGTATAAACATTTCCTTTAGCGAAAGGAGTTGTAGTGGTAAAATTTCTTGACTTACTTTTACTCTGAATTTTTCCATATTCATTTTGCTAATGTATCGATGAAAAATTTGTCATATATTTGGAAATTTATTTATTTCTATTTGTTCTTTATTTTTTTAAATTGTACAATTTTATATAAGTAAAATAAAAATTACATGTAAAAATTTCAAATCTTCTCAATGATTTTAAAAGAACTAATGATTGCAGACTGTATGTTGGACCAATGCCGATACAATTGTATTATATAAGATTTGCTTTTTATAAAAAAACAATTCTTACCTAATCAATACGGTCATCGACCCATTCGTAATAGTTTACTTTACGCTCATCATTACAATCACGCATTAAATTTAAATATTATGAAATTCTAGTAATATCGCTAGAGAAACAATATTACTCATTCTATTATTCATTGAATGCAATAATAAGATTTGCAAATACTCATTGATCCAATGATGGGTCTATCCGAATGTCAGTAATATTTACAAACGGAGGGCGGTTGAACAATGGCGCGGGGCGCATTGTCTCGCGCAGGATGTCCGAGCCCATTGTACCGGTTAAACAGCACAGAACGACATATATAACGTTCTTGTTTCACACTTCCATTAAAGTGTTAAACGCTATCTCGACGAACCAACAGCCAACAACGTTCATAAATAAAATGACAGCCCAAATAAGAGTATTACAACATCAAAAGAGACAAAAACTGAAGTGAATATAAAAGGTTTTAAAAAGGCCTGTTCTGTCCCTGTTCTGGTAAACGGAAAGGGTACATTTCATACTAGTCAAAGATACTAGTCACATAAATTGTTGTCAAATGCTTTGATGTTGCTGGCATATTACGTCACAAAACGTTCCTGCCATCTCTCTAGAAAATGCAATATGAATATGCTATTATCTGTTATGTGCGCAATGTTACGAACACGGTAGCTGATTACCTACCTATTTTTTCTTTTATTTAAATTCTTTGTACAAAACGGTTTCTATTGTCTAAAATTTAAATACTCGTATTTACGTAGAAAATGATTTGGAATAATATAAGATATTAATTAAATTTTAAGAATAAATTACCTTAATTTCACCTAGGGCTCTGAGACTTGACCTGTAGTTTTAATCCATACCAAAAAAAACTCTACTCCCCTTTAGGAGTGTATAAGTTACTTCTTTTTTCATATATTGTTCTTTTTCCATAGAAAAATTCCTTCCTTAGAACAGGATGTTTAAAACTTTACTTAAACGATCTGCTTACAATGGAACTGTATTTTTTTGTGTTCATACATACATATGTTATCATTAATGTAATATTGAAAACGACGAAAGCGAAAGTTAGTTTTACGACGTTTCGGCCAACGTGCGAAGTCAAATTGTATTCCCATCTTCCCTGTCTTATTACATTCAAGCTTATAACTGAATTCAGTATCTTTCTTAAATAATAAACACATTTTAAAATCTTATGCATTAATGTGGGTTGTTACATAGTGATGTTTTCTAATAAGACGGGAATGTTAATCCTGTGAAGAGTTGAGAACCAAGTTCAAATATACGAGTAATATCGTCGCGGTTTTAATGTTCAATGTGTTTACAGGTTAAAAAACACTGAAAGTATTAGTCGTCTGTCTCTACGAGATAGGGAATTAGAGAGTTAATGAACAAGAACCTAAGCACAAATCAATTTTTATTCTTAATTCATCGTAACGGCAAAGATACTGTTGCTGGTTGTAATAAAATCATTTATCAATGTCTGGATTACCCTAGTTGATTGTCTTAATCTTACCTAAATAGTTCTAGTTGTCTCTTTAGAACAATATTTGTCTTCATACTATGTAAGAAGTTAACATTGTTGACAATTTGCAGAAAATTGATGATGAAAAAAATGACTCGCCGAACTCAGCCAGCGATGACAGCTCGGAGTCTGACAGTTCGGCCGAAGAGGAAGATGAACTTGACGCAGTCCGGCCAATGTTCAAGTTGCCAGTACAGTTTGATCTTGATGAGCTAGCGGGTGCCTTCCTGGCGAATAACCAAAAGTGAGTTTTATACAATATAACAGTTATTTTGTTCTTTTTTATAAATTACTTACTACTAAACATAAATCTATGTTTTGGTAATAGCACCACATACTTTTAACTTGATTAAAATGGCTCTACCCTTATAAAGCGGTTCGAATTTAAAAGCCCTACTAATGCGTTAAAGCTCTAGTGTAATGAAGTTAAATATAAGCAAAACATGAAAATTGATGATTACTTTTATTCATTTGGTTAGATAGGAAAGTGGGATCTGGCATTGAAAACTATGAAGTAAGTAAGTAAACGAAATGGCAACATTGATAGAAAGTAAGATTAGATGAGCTAGGCAGCGAATGCATTAGAAATCTAAAACCAATTGCGAGATATTAGCATAACAATTTCTAATGCAGCAAGGTCGAAGTTTTTTAGGATTGCTTAAAGATGTTTTATGCCAATGTTTTTTTTCATCGCTATAACTGATTTCAAATTAAAATAATTTAAACAAATAATAGATTACCATTCAGTCATCATTCATAGTATTGCATTATGAGCTTATTGTTTAAATTATTTTAATTTGAAATCAGTTACAGCGATGAAAAAAAAAATTTAGACAAAATGATTCATTGATTTATTTATGCAAATATGTAAAAACAGGTTCTAATAATTATTCAATATTTGATAACTAACGTCTTAAACGGAGAATGAGTGACTTAATGCAGCTATTGATTGATTGTCACACTGACACTGACTGTATAATCCGACGACAATAAGATATGTTCAACTATGGCATTTATTTTTAATTAACTGGTATCTTGGTTCTTAGTTACTTACATAATACAAAACTTTACAAGGAATCTAAAATTTGCAAAGGCTTAAGGAAATGGTTTTAGATGACCGTTACTAACCCAATTATAAAATTTAAATGCGAATGAGACAACTGGCATTCATTTCAATATGAATGTTTATTGACCGAAGTACCGTAATAACGGATATTTGCAGAACACTTTTGTATCACTGTTGTAAATATATCATTTGAGATTTGGAAGTAGATTAATTTTAATGGTGTAGGGGGCAAACGGGCAGATGGTTAACCTGATGGTAAGTGACTATCGACGGCCATATACACCTACAACTCAAGAGACAAGTGCGTTGAAAATAAGGAAGTGGTAGGAGCTGGGCCTGAGGAAACCTCACTCACTATGTAAAAAGTATCGAACAAATTGTTTTACACCAGTTTTCTGTGAGGTCGCAGTATCATATCGAACGAGCCGGCCAATATGCTCCGAGGTCTTGTTGTCTAGGTATCATACAAAGAATATTATTATTTTGCTCTACACAACACTACGGGTATATTTTTATTTATAGATCATAAAACTCGTTATGTAGTCATTCTCTTTGTCTTTACTAGTTAGATAGGGACATAATATAGACAAAAATAACATTATGTAATACATTATATTATATGTTATAACCGAAGGCTCTCGACTGTTCTACAAAGTCGCAGTAAAAAAAAACAGTTTTGTAGTTCGTCGGTTCCTATATATATTTATATATATCTCTTTCATTTTAATTCGCTTTACATTAGCTTAACCTGTATCTAACTATGTAAGTAAATCTTTTACTGTACTTTTCGCCAACTACAAAATGTATCACAGGGCGATAACGTTAAACTTAAATACTTAAGTTTGTCATTTCGCAAATTAGTGTTTAATTATTCTCGCAAGGAGTACTCCTTAAACCTATACCTGGGTCGCAAGTCCCAGGCGCTGTCGAAGTCGCATGTGTTGTCCCCATCTATCACGCGATGGACCCTGCATCCGCACGGTGAAACCATGGAAACCTAAGAAATAGGTTTTACACGTAAGCCAGAAAGTGACTTGCGATTTCATGAATTAAATTGAAAAATTCTTTTAATGTAAAGGTAAATTTTTATAAGTAATTCTCTAGATATGTATATACTGCTGAATTGCTAGATGTCCATAATTAATTTGTCCATCCGAAAAAGAAAGAATTCATTTTATTAGTATATATATTTTATTATATGGTATGAATATATTATATTAGTAGATCTCTTTTTTAACACATACGTTTAGTGAGAGGCCTTTTCTTGGCTATAAAGACAATAATTCATTACCAATCACACTTTATTAGCATTTTATCACGAAAGTAAAGCAAAAGTAAATTTCATAATTACACGACCATTATAATAAAATCAGTTAAAGAAAAAGTCTGCAATTAAATAATAAAATAAAAGAGAGAGTTTTTTTATTGCCAGTGCGTAAAAGGTATGAAGTAATCAGCCGTTCAGAGTATTGTTGTTTGTTCCAGCGTCTCGGTTCAATGTTTTTATTGATCCTCGCTTTTGTGAAGCAAATTTTTTACTTAACCTGTTAGGAGAGAAATGAGGGCGCGGAAAATTTTGTACAAATTATGAATATAATTAAGTGCTTTCTTAAATTTGTATGTTGAGAAATATCTTCTGGTGTTTTATGGATGGTTGCAACTCACCTTTCTCAAAAGAAGATTTCTTAACTAAGGGAGATTTAGGTACACAAAATACCTAAGTATTGAAAGTAATCATTTTGGGAGTTGATGGTCGTAATGTAATAAAAAAAAATTAAAGGAAGTTATCCTGGCAATCAGCAAACAATACTGTTAAACACTCTTTTTAAAATTAATTTCTTTTTGATAATGCATACCTATTAACGTCATTGTGTGTTAGTAAGCAAGGCCCTTTACTTATTTTATCCAAGTGTTTATATAAATAATAGGTTAGCTGTAAGTCTACTTGAAACAACCTAATTATGATACATTTAAGTGTATCTGTCATCATGAACATTACTAAACCTATGGCAGCTTACTGTATTGCGCTCTTTTGAACACGATGACATTAAATCTATAAAGGCATTGAAAGCGTTAAGAGGTTTCTAATTATTCTTCTATTATTTTCAGGGGTCGCATGAACTGCATGGTGGAGAGGCGCCGCGAAGATCCAATGGAGAGACGGTTCCCTTTCAATATCCTCGGAGCATTCGGCCCACGCCCATCTCAGGCTGAACGTATTGCCATTATCTGCCATGGAGGAGACGAGCCTAGGTAAAAATACTTTCCACATTTCAGTACTCTATTGATGGCGTTTATAATAATAATTACTTGACACATCTTACACACGGCCATCTGATCATAAGCTGGTCAGAGCATGTACTATGGTAACCAGGCTGCTGATAAATGAATTTATATATTATTAAATACATTTATATTATACATAATTTACACCTGAACAAGTGATCGGTGGCCGGTGCTCATCACACAATTGTTTGTCCTGGGTGTTATTCGAACCCACGACCTCTTTCTTAGCAGTAAGGACCGCTAACCACTAGACCAATTGGCCAGTCGCTGGTTCATGTTTCATTATGTAGTGAAATTATTATTTCATGTAGGTAAACTAATATATAATATTAGATATTCCAAAGTACTAATTTATCGTATCGAATAGATTTGAAAACTTTTAAAATAATTATACAGGTGTAGTAAGATTTTAGGGATATATAGTTAAACCCTGTATACATATCCCGTAAACAAAAAAAAAACAATACTTTTAAAACATTAATCTTAGTTTGAAAGTCTACTATTTCGTAAGCGACAAGGTTGACATAGATGAAACTATTTGTATTTAATACGAATAATGTTACTGAAATATTTAAGTTTCAGAATATATGTATCTGCCTAGAAAATTAGAAAATTCCTTTCCGAAAATCATAAGAATAATATGGTGTAGAATGTGTTTCGTTGTGCATCTCTACCAGGAAATGTGTAATCCTAGGAAAAAAGAAGAAAAAAGGTTTTTTTTTGAGCTGAATTAACTATTCGTCTGCTTCACATAATGTTAATAAAACCAGACCTCATCTTTTCGTGCCATTTTATGCAAACCAAATTAACGTAATATATAAAAATGTTAAGTTGGTTTGTGTACGCTACAAAATCTCGAAAAGTTCTGCGCCGATGGAGCTCAAATTTTGTCACGATGGACAACACGCGTCAAAGATGGTTTTTATCTATTTTCAACCACAAAGTGCTAGGGTACAGTGAGTAGCACATATATAGCGAGTAATAAAGCAGTCTTACAGAAACCTACGGTATAAAAAGAATAGATCAACAGTTGGGTCAACATATAAATTGCTAACAACCTTTTTAACTGACTTACTTTACCCCGTCAATCAGACTTAATTAGGTTGTTTATTGTCTTAACGGCTGAAGTTAATAATCGAGCTAATCCAAATTATGTAAATGTTAAATTTTGATTAATATTTTGAGTAATCGTACCCAACACCATAATAACCGTAATTTAGTATGGTCTTCTTTCAAAACAGTTAAACTTCAAATTCAAACTCAAAATATCATTATTTCATAAAAAATATGAGATTGTTTGTAATAGTCTTTAATGTAGACTCTAAAGCAATCTCACCTAATAGACAAAGTAAACTACAGTGTCAAAAACAGATATAATTTTTAGGCCTGAAAGTTTTTTATAAAGAATACTACACCTACATTATATATATGTGTATGGCAATATATGGTATTGCCTAAAATATTCGTTTATTATTTTCGCTTGCTATGTTAGTTTTATATTGTGAAATGTAAATGATGTTTTATTTTGCAAAGACGTGAATCAGAGATACCGATAAATTTAAATACTTTTATAAATAGGTTTATGACTGTTGCCGTTGACCATAAAACGATGCAGCTCCTATTTTAAACATTTATCTAATTAGTTCTGTGTTAGTATTCGTGTGGTGATGGATTTAGAATAAGGTGTCATCATCCCTATACATCCCGGCAGTGTTGTAAGAGCCGACTAAGGGAACAAACCTCGCAGGACAATTAGCAATGGACAATGTACAGAAGTAGACTATTAGAGGCTGTTGATGGTCTGATAAGTTCGATTATTTGCCCGTTATTTGTATTGTCACTGCGTAAAACATATTTTTTTGTTGAAATATAAAAGTTTAAATGAAAACGTTACAGACATTTGCTTCTTTTTCTACTTACCAATCATCTATAAAGGTATTCATTTACAATATATATTACACATTATTATAAATACACCTTGTATAGGTATTTTGTACTGTGTCTACATTATGTAAACACACACCAGTCCGGACCCAATTCTTTTGTTGTGTATTTTGCTTTGCTCGCATTCAAAAGCGGCGAAGTGGACCGATTGTTCTTGTTCTTCGGGATCTCATAGCTTAAAGTTCCATTCTGTCTATCTACCGGCATACTACGATTTTTCAAGATCAAGGATCAAATAAAGGACAGGAAAACGCATTACTTACTTACTTTAAAGGAAACAAAGGTAGGCTTAGGTTTCTGAAAATAGGTAATTATTATAAGATATTTATAAAGCGACTGTTTACGAAAATTTAATTACGTTTTTTTTTGTGTTCCTGATATTACATATCACATTTTCCACTTTATCATACTTTATGTTTATTTGTTTGGATCCCATACTTTTACAAACGTAAGTACCAGATTTTTAAGACAAATAATATAAGTAATAAATAATCGAATAAACAAATTCACTATTGCATTATTTTACAAAAAAAAAATGATATGATGGCAAACAATTATCACCATTATTGAAGTCAGCCTAATGCATTTAGTACCTACATAAATTTATATGTTGGCATGTAGACTAAAGATCTAATTCGATTTCATAGATCCAGTATACTACTCTATATAATGCCATAATATACGGTACATATTATGCCCAAATACAGCCTAAAAATATGCGTAATGCCTAAAAATGGTATAAGTTTTTTTATAGTTGATAAAATAATGATCACTTTAATAGCGGTTGCTAATAAATAAGCTATTGATTTAAAGTAAGAAAAGGTTATCAAATCAAATCATGTATAGAAAAACATTCAGAAATTATATGTTGCAATCCTTGAGAGAGAGATTCTTTACACAAATAAGCCTAAGTAGATATATATACCTATGTATTTCATACAAAGTTATTTAGCCAGGATCGCCTCGCTACAAGCCTTTATAATATATACAATTATGTAATGTAAGAAAGTGGTGGAGTTGACATAAATAAAAGCCGTCCTTGGCGTAGAAACAGGTCATTCTTATCACGACTTTGAAAATCAAAATAAGTGATCAGGAGTACCACATTCACGTTTTAAAACTTGAGAAACTTAGAAGCAAAATTGTGAATATATAAAGTAATATTCAATTTCGGGAGCAAAGTGCATATTTTTTGTTGGTTAAAAAGGAACAATCGAAGCATTTTAATAAATTGGCAACGATACTAAAAATATTTGCCTGAAATTCATAAAATCTTTTATCAAAATGCCACGCAAGCGAACTCGCACGTGTCGAGTTAAATTAAATTAATTTGATTGTTTCAGGCCCATGAACTTCCCAGAACCACAGTCGCAAGTGTTCGCGTTCCCCCTGACAGGTCCAGTGAGGTTGCCTTTGAGGCCCCAGCCTGAACGCCCCGGACCTCCACCGTCTGCCGCTCCCCGCATGCCACCCTTCGCACCCCTCTCGCACCGCCCTGCGCCGTTTCCCCTACCCGTAAGTAACTTTTTATTGAATGTTTTGGTGTTTGTTCTTATTTGATACTTCAGACGAAACGGACACGTTTTAGGAACATGGCGATTCTGACCGATTACGGTGTCATTTTTGTTGTTCATCTTATTTGTTTTAATGCGATATCTATATATTTTAGTATAGGAAGGAGTTAAAGGTCAACGGAGTATCCAATAAGATGCTTTTGATACTTCGCCTATGTTACATTTATTCAGTAAATAGTAGAATATCCCATAAAATATTTACAAGTTCAATATAACTCCTTACTCAGGAGTAGTATTTAACTTGTAACAAGCAAAATAAAACGTAATTACTGTTTTCGTCCCAAGTCACTGCCTGTTTTTAGATACCTACTGATTAAAGTCTAGATATATTATGCTTTAGTATGAAACATCTCATTGTATCATCAACAAAAAGTAGTCTGTTGCCCAGATAGATGGATGTAGTAGCATAAGCACAAGATTCATTATCGTCAGTGTAGTATCTACAGAGTGTACAGCAATGCATTCTATAGTTTTCTTGTACAAAATAATTACAACGGCGGATTGCAGCATTTACTGAATTTTACTGCCTATAAATATTTTTCATGCCTATTCAAACACAAATTATGTGACTGTATTTTTTTTGTCGAAAATAAAGCATATTAAATATTGTTTGTTATGTAAAAAACAATTTTATGAGATGAAAAATATAACTTATAAAATCTATGTTCAAGTTTTATGGAACCAATTAAAACTTTTAATTTCACATTTAACATAACTTTAAATATACAAAGTTCGTTAAAAGTAATTTAGCAAAAAAAATTTTAGGAACTTTTTCAGTTCAGCTGCTGTTTTATCCTTCTTTAGTAGGACCATATTCTACTAAGTTACGAAAGAGAGAGAGAGCGTCATTAAAATTTATATGTGATTTCAATTTAAGAGTACAGTATAGAGGTTTTCTACATAATAGAATTAATTCTTTGCGAAGAGACTACACAGTGTACTCATTACATAACTAGATACTATGCAAAGATACATCATAACGGTTAAAACGACGGCGGAATGTTAATGTGGAGATATGAACTTTGTAATTGACCATTATAGCCTTCCTTTATATTTTATAAAAATTAATTAATGACTGAATTTATGATTTAAAAAGTACATTTATTATAATTGTTAGTAATAGTGTAATTTTTAATCAAATTCAGCAAAATTAGTTTATATTGCTTCACAACTGGATAGCGTGACGGGACTGCTGATGTATTTTAAATTAATAAAAAAGACGTGTGGCACTCGGGGACTGCCGCGGTAAAGCTATTGGATAGCATTTTGTATCAACTTATGCAATTATAATTATTTATTTATTTTATTTTTGCAGTATTTCTTTTTCTTTGATATTAATTCAAGTTACACTTTTTGAGCGTGGTGACCGATAAGAAAACATTTTTTTTTCTTTTATTAAATAAAAATATTGAAGCATATATTACAATTTGTTTTTAAATAAATAAATAAAAAATATTATTATTAAATCAAATTACATATCCATGTAAGATTTTTCTGCATTATGTTGACGAAATTTCCTTTGACGTTCAGCATTTGATTTTGGTACTATGGTATGGTACTTGGTAAGCTATGCAATAGCTTAAAATAAATAAAAAATGTTAATAATAAACTATTACTGCTACCAAAGTTCAATAATTTACTATTTTAAAATATATATATATATATATTCTGTCATTTATCTCTATGACGTATCTAATTACAGACTCGTGAGATGTACTCGTATAGTCTGACAACAAAATAGCACACCTTTACTAGGGACGCTTAAATTACTTTTGTTATGGCAATATATTGTATACCTACTCATATTCACGTAGGTACATTAGCAACGGTTTAAGACTTATGATACAACAGACATATACACAGATACACACAGAACAAATGATCTTGCTCATTGATTTTTCTTGGGTGGGAATTGTATCCACGACTTCTGGCTTGGCAATCAGGATCGCTGACCACTGGGCTAACAAGTCAGTATAATAAGCAATTTGTAAGAATAATAGTAAAACGTGTCTTGTGAATTTCACTTTTGCTGATATAATCATGTAACAGCATTTACAGAACAAAAACGTTAAAGAGATGCCAAAACTCAAAAAAATATTGTACATTACACAAAGTTTTTTAGATTTCTAAATCACTTTTTACAATAAGATCGAGTTTTGAAGGCTTCGAGTACGTAATATTTCCCAATAACTTCTTAACTTAATAAAAAGCTTACGAAAGTTACATGTTGTATAAGAGCAATGGTACGCTGTGTTAATGCTCCCTCGTCACGCAGTTAGCCGTTTTTTTTCATTAAAGGAAATGTTACAGATGGTACACTTTTTATTAATAGGTTCTTATCACGAAAATTTTCATCCTGTAACTTATAAAAATAAATCATTGAGCGACTGTAAGAAACTGTAAGAAACTGCCGTTTTATTCCGTTACAATAAAATGTTTACTTATTTTTAAATATGTTGTTATTTTGACTTAATTTGTCTAAAATTATTTTAATTTAATTATTAGGTTTAGACTCTAGTCAAGACTAGTAGTCGTTAAATGCTACATTTTCTTTTCTAGGTTTATTTATTATATTAATTATGCTCTGCTATGCTCGCAGAAAAAAACTTTTCTTTCTGCAAGCGTAGCATTCTCGTGTATATTTGTTACTGACAATCTGTATAATTCAGGTATTCTATAGAATACCTAGGTAATGTATAGAATACCTAAGGCGTCTAGGCAATGTATGAAATATTATGAATATTATTTTTCATGATATACTTTACCTAGGTAATGTATACAATTCCTAGGTATTGTATGGAGTACCTGCTGATTCACCGGCGGCAAATAACTATATTTGGGCCTGTATTTATCAATGTTATGTAAGTAAGTAAGTAGGAGGGTATAAAATGAGAGACAAAAATAACACATTAGATTTACTTAAAATCAACTTTATTAAAATTAACAATTAGTAAGTAGTTAGTTTTATCTTTTACCTGTATTATGACTGGTGTGTTGGTCTAGCGGGTTCGATTCCCACCCAGGATAAATAATTTTTTTAGAATTTTAATTTAGAAATACGTGTGGCCAGTTGACGGCAACAGGCTTGCTGGCTATTACGTAGGTAGGACTAAAATTGCTGGCGGCAAAATATGGCCGTTTAATTTGTCTGCCCTTCGAGAATAAAGACTTGAGTGTTTGTATGTGTATTATTTGTCATCATCATCAAAAGCGTTTTATAGTCTACTGCTTAACATAGGTCTGTCCTTGGAAAGGAGGTTTTTGCCTATTACACCACGCTATTCAGACGGGTTGGTAAAGGGTTTGTTTTAAGTTTTCCTTCTCCTGGCAGTGCTGATGTCCTGCGTAGTTTGCTCCCTTAGTCGGCTCTTACGACTCTCACGGGATGAATAGGGGTAGTGACTCTGTATTCCTAATCCGTCACCACATAGACATCTCATCTTATCTATTATTAGCTTTGCTTACTCCAGTTAGTCATAAGACTTCAACGTATCTCCTAAACTCATTATGACTTTACGCTTGCCAAAATATTGAATTGAAGTTAAAATATTTAACAAGTCTCACTACTAACATTGCTTTTAAGATAGATCACTGTATGCTTCGGTATACAGTTAACTGTAAGTACGAATGAAAAAGCGTCTACTGTTTATTTTGGCGATTAGAGTAGGATTGAGTTGAATGACATTTGAATTACTAAGACTGTAGACTAAAATTCTTTTTAAGAATCGTTCTTTCTTAAATTTAGGTTAGGCCAGAAATACTTTTAGAGAAAGTGATTTAAGTACAACTTTAAAAGGAAATTATAGATGTGTTTGTTTGATAATTAGAGAGGTATCTAAACCCCAAAGAAAATCGCAGTAAGTGTTAGCAAGTGAAGCAGTTTTACTTGTGTAATCCTGTTTGTTATATATCATTAGCCTCATCGAGAAAAGGAATGGAAATTCGACACTACATTTGTTATATTACAGCGTTTCTTAATCTAAATGGCATGACGGGTTTTCAGCCTTTTTTGACTTGCTTTTTTATGAAAATTTACTAACTTATTAAACTCAGTTTCTACACGTTTCTTTGATTGTATTTATATAGCTTTATAAATATTACTAAAAGTGTGTAGGTGTAGGTCGGATAACAAAGCACATTGAAACTGAGACTTTCAATGAATTAATGAGGTAGGTATGTAAATAAGTCTTGAAAGAGAATCGTAACAGCTGATACGGCCCACGTTCTCAGTTCCATTTTAAAATTGAAGTTTAATGGATAGATTCCTATTAATTCTTTCAGAGCTTAAAGAGAGATAAAATAAACTACATGTGACACTTTTAACATAATACCTAAGTAAGGTTCTAAGGTACTTTCTGCTCTTTTTTTATTCATCAGAGGAACATGATTAAATCATAACCAAATTAGATAAAAAAAAGTCAGATTCAATCATCGGATCTTTACTAGGTGACAATGGAACCACCATTAGAGTATATTCGGTCCTACAAAAAAATAATATTTAAAATTGGTCCCAAAGATAATGGACTATATAAAACTTCAATGAACCTCCCACCTTCTCTAAAGTCAGTAAAAAAAGATTACTTATATCAACAACTACATCAAGTGTTTTAGGATTCTGCCAGTTTCAATGGTCATATCTCCTTATTCTTGATATAACTACATATGGTTTTCTAATTGCTCATATTAACGGTTTTCACTTCAAAGAGCGCCTATATAAGGGCGAAGTTCAGTATGTTTGTAGTTCCATGAGTTATGTACATGAGCTACCCCTATAATACGATGTTGTAACAGTAAATTAATTAACCGATAACTGGAAGAACACACTCATAAGGGGCGCGCGTTCCTTTATGAGATTAAATGCTATGAATAGGTAATATGAAAGGTCTCAGAGTACTGAAACACAATTTATGTTACGCATTGACACATTTATTGTGTTATTTT